TGGATCGAGTACCCAACGGTATTTATCCCATGCTAAGAGACGTGGAAAATCATATTGTTTCCGCAGGTTTAGCTGACATGCTGTTGGCCTCTGAAATTATAACGCAAGACTCGGAAAAATATGTGGAACCTTTATTAGAGTTGTTGAAGAAATTCAGCGCTTTAATTAAAAATGCCTTCAGCGATGGTCAACGGCTCGCGACAAGGCGTTTAAGTTGTACCAGTTTCGCCACAAAAAAATTTGGCATAGTTTACCTGAAATAGATGAACGTCAGTGTAGATACTTTGCACGTGATCGAATTTACTGATAAGTGCATCTTAAATCTGTGACAATTGTAATAAATTTAATATATTTAACATAAACGTTAGACTTAATTAATAGTCAGACTTACCTTTTCCATATTTTCCTTTATAATCCTCATAAAGAAAGAAAGATCATAAACGAAGTAGTCGGGATGGATTATATATTGTAATTTGATTTTAATTTGAAATTTTTGTATATCGACAACTAATTCTACTTCACTAACGATATCCGCTAAGATGAATCGTAATTCTAGTAAACCTATCTATAGGAGTAGAGTGCCGACAATGGTTGGTTCAAAATAAGGTTTTCCTTTAAAATATAAATAATATTACTATCAAAAAGCCTTTGAAAGAAATTTGTATAATATTTGCATCTTAAGTAATTGCAACAATATTTCACCTGCAGATCTCTTTAGCTCCATATAAGCTTTCGAAATTACTTCTGGTATTAACTTTGGATTTACTAACGAATTCAATTATTGTACTATCTTATTATTATAAGCTATAATTATATTATTCACGTGTTCTGTTATTTCGTTCTTCTATGAATTGTGTTATTCTTCTATCCCTTTATATTTTGTTGTTTCATCAAGCACGTCGAAGTTAACCATTCTTAATCATTCTTAACCATTCTTAACCATCTCACAATTAAGCTATGTTAAGCATTATTAAGCATTGGTAAACAATGTTAAGCATAAATAAAAAATATTCTTGATAAATCGTTATGTGAAGAATCTTTGTTTTCTTGAGTATTATGAGCAAAAAGTTGTACATATTGTACACGTCTATAATTCAATTATGTGTACTATTTTTACGGGAGCAATTTCGGCTTCTGCTGATTGCTTTTAGGCTTGGCCCTTTGCCTTTTTCTGAACACGAAGACATGTACTTTCATAAATCTTCGAAAATGATGTCTATATAAAAATAACGGTGCTAACGCTGAGATAGATCTACGTTTTTTAAATTAAATAAAAATTTTACCGCTTACGTAGTTAAATAGAATAGAAACGAGTATCCGTGTACTTACTGGTGCCTAGGTTACAAAATCAGTTCTCTCATATTTATGGCAATGTTTGGTAATTCATAGAGTTCGCTATCTGCGCTTTTATGCACTTCATATAAATAAAGATTATACCGCTTATTACACTTGATAAGAAAACAGAAAATTTTATTTCAAAAACCCTCACTCTATTTTCTCGGAATGTTCTTCAACAATAAACCAATTTTGGAAACATGTCATAAGTGCAAAAGCCCACAAAAGAAAATTCTTTTCCAAGAGCAAGCTAGCTAATTCATCGCAAAATAAAGCTTCAAGCTCTGGGGAGTACATACTCAAATTTCGTAAGCGCGCTAGAATTTAATAAAGTTATCAAAAAAAAAAAGAATATATTATTATTATTATTAATTTCGCCAGAGAAATAAATTCAAACAGTAAACTCTTAAAAGCACTAGCATCTAAAGCTATCGGCTTTTATTAAAAACTCTACCGCACTTGAGATTCGAAGCCACGACCATTGACTTGCTAGTCGAGATTCGTCGCCTTCGGCTACTCAGGCGGATAAAAAAAAAAAAAAAATTACATTACATTATTAAATATCGTGAATAAAATAGAGAAAATGATAATAATAGTTTACATTGCATTACAAATTCTTTTATTTTCAGAATTGGTGCAGACATAACAGTCAACTTACAAAAATAATTTGCCGCTATCTTTCCTCTCCCATCGGGTAAATCACACGAGGAAACGACCAAACGAACCAACCTATTGAAGAAGCATGGATTTCGGGGGCTTTGAGCCACGTTCCCACATGCCAAAAAAATGCATCGCCTCTTTTCTCTTATTTTTATATAAAACTTTCGATTCTGTGAAGCTATTTCAACAGAATACATTATATTTATCATTGTCATTTTTGCTTTTCAGGTTCGTGAAGCAAAAGAATTTATGTTAGAAGATGTGAACGCAAAAATTTACAAGAATTATGAAAGTTTTATGCGACTATGTTTGATCTCTTTGCCGTTTCCTTTTATTCCTGCAATAGAAACTTATTGTTTACATTTATTGTGTAAGTAACAATGACGAAAATTTATTTAACACCAAAGAATGAAACAATTATTTGAAATTTTGTAATAATAAGTTAAAAAATATGATAAATATTTGGTTTTTGATTTACAAACGTCAAGATTCAAAATATGATAAGAGCTTATGTAAGTAAACTATTCTAATGGCTTTTGAATCACCGTTTCGCCACTACTTAATCTATCAACGAAATAATTATATAAATAATATAATAATCCAAAGAGAAATAAAGCTTTGAAAAACTGATCCACGCACCACATCCTAAAATTTGGAGGAAGGCACGTTCTTAATATATTTGTTTATAGAAAATAATATGTTAAATGATTTACACTTTCATATGATGACGGGCCGTTGGGATTGTATCCTCCGTTTCCTTTAATATTAAACGCCTAGCGCAATTAGTACAATTGGTAAAATAGTCCACCAAGTCTAGATCGACTTTCTCTATTATGTACGTGCGGCGCTCTCGTTCATTCATAAGTTCTCTCATTCGTAGCGCTTCGGTATTATCAAAATCCCATACGTTATTAGCATAGTGTTCGAAAACTTTCAGACCATTAGCCAATTATAAATCACTTTGAGAACGTCCACATTTTGCCGAGTAAAGTATAAAATGATTACGACTGCTTCGCAAACCTTATGAAGACTTCGAATTTAAACATTTTTTTTACTTTTTTTTCTCTGTTTTAATACTATAAATAGTTATTCAAAATATAATAATTAATACACAAATACTTTTAATTTAATAATAAAAACTCTTACATGGTTTTGTTAGAAGAAAATAAATTGGAAAATAAATTTCTTAATTGTCAAAGAACAATGCTTATTTATAAACTAAATTAATAATCACTGTAACCGTCAATTGTCATTAACTCATAAATTCTTAGCGCAAAAAAAAAAAAAATCCTGTGCACATTTCGATATTCTTCGCATTTCATTGTAAAAAGAGTGATGCTTTATAACAAAAAAAAGAATTTAGTTCATAAGATAGGTAAATTCAAATTCCAATGAATAGAAAAGTATTACAATTATTATTTTCTATGTTTTCCTACTCTGCGCTGAGTACATGAAAACAAAGTTCAAAAAAGAAATAAAAAACCAAAAAAAGGCTCAAAACTTAACACTACTCTTATGCATGTTCAGTGCATAACACTAACACTATTCTTGGGCATGTTTAATATTTAATGTACAGTTAATCTAACAAGAAAAGAAAAAACAAGGAAAGACAATTTCGATATATGAAAATAATTAAGAGATAGTATAGCACAAATGCAGTGAGCGCAGCAATTTGTTACTAGGAATTTAACGTGTCCTGAAATTAAAATTTAGGCAAACAAAACATTAACGGAACAAATGCTCAAATAGCTATAAATACCGGTAAAAGTAATGTAGAGTCGTCCAAGGAATATGGGTCCGGTTGTCTCGAACCACTTGGTGGCATTGGCGATTTATGCGCTGAAGGAATTTTTGTAAAGAAGATATTTTTTGATTTTAAATTCATGTCAACTAAATTATTGGGATGTATATAACGTAGTCCCTCGGCTATATGTAATAGTAATAGTTTCAGTTAAGATTCTACCAGCGACGTTCCTGCAGGAGAGATTGCAAGCTATCGCCATTGCAGTACTCATTTTGAATAATACCGGACGACGTTGTCATGTTTTCCCAACACAGCGTGGGCCCATTCAAAGCACGTTTTCTGAAAAGTAATAAGGACACCGTTTAAAAACGGATATTTTTTCTTTCATTGCTCATACTTACTCGAACGAACTGTCCACTACCGGTTTAATAGTTTTCTTAATTGCGTAAATGCAGCCATCTAAACGATTTAGATACTGATAGACTTTCCCGAACTGCCCAACGCCTATAACAGCTAATTCTATAAATTCCTTTTTACAACGACTTACGTTGGTATCCTGTAGAGTCAATCTTTTAGGAGCATGATTTATTTCAGGGGTATTTTCCCTTCTGCATCATTCAACACATCGTCGTTAGTAGTGAGAAATAATTGCAAAGATAGGTTATTGAGATTCTCAATACCTTCGGTAGCGTTTCTTACTGTGAGCCATCAAACCTAAGAGACAACGTGCGTTACTATTTTACATATTAAAGTTTTACAATAAAGGCGACAAACTTACTATCCGGTGTAAATGGATTTACGTTGGCTGTCTGCGGTTGCATGACGTTGTCTACAGCTCTGTTATTGAAATGATAATGGGCGTGGCCTCTCTGAGGTTTTCAAAAGAAGCATTTCTTGCTTTTTCGTAGACTCGGCCGCCGCAACTGCAGATAAATGATTTATTGACGAATTTCCAAAATAGTTTTTGGGGTAACTGGTATGTCAAAAAAACGTAACGCGCGCACAAATATTGTTTCTAGGTGAAGGCTTAGTTTTTACGAAAATATTTATGTGCGCGGAAAGTTATGCAAAAAGTGATCTATGTACTTTAAGCTTACAGCAATGCATTTTATACCTCAAACATGTACAAGATAGTAATGGTAATCTCCTTCCACAATGGAAAAAATGTATTGATGAAAAAATGTATTATTTATCTTTGTCCTTGTTTATGATCTGAAAGGAGGTTTAAAACGTAATATTATTTTTATTATTATTATTATTTTTTCTTTTTTTGGTTTGTTTGGAAGTGGATTGGATCAGTTACATTGGAATTAGATCCATAATCTTCATTAGAGCCATTGAGGATAAATTTGGGCTTAGGTATAGACTGATGTAATAGGATGAAATCCAAAGGTACCAAGTTATTGTGCACATTAGACACTTCCCCCTTGTACTTTAATTTACACAACGTAACTGTAAAAATAGACGTATTTATGATGGGCAGTAAGACCATATCAAATATCAATTAATTTTTCAATTTAATTTCTTCTTATTTTCAAATTAATTTTTTCCTGTTTATTTGGTTGAGTAAAATAAAGTTCCCAAAATTTTAGTACCAAAGCCTACTCGATCGTTGCCATTTGCGTTCTTAGATTTTTACTGTATCTATTTTAACGTTTAAATAACATTAAAGTGAGTGAAGATATTATTTTAGTCATTCCTATATCCAAATGTTTTTTTTTTCTCATAACTTACTCGTGATGAAAATCATATGCCACAAAATATGAATTAACCCACAACTAAAGTGCCTTCGTCGGAGAAAATATATGTAGGTACTTTGATGGCACATATTGTTCAATTTAGAAAGCTTTGACAGACAATATTGCATGCTCATGCATAGACCGCAACTTGGACAAAACAAGTCCAAATAGTTATGACGAAATCTATTTCCTTAGATTTTAATATAACGTCGTTGAAACTATTCTAGTTAGAAAATCAAAATGACGACGGAATGTTGGAAGATGATTATGAACTGCAGTTGGGTTTCGCATACAGTATACCACGATATTTCCAATAACTGAAAGTCTTCATCAGTCTGTAAAAAAAGAACCATGTTATAAATATTCTTACTTTTCATTTCACTGTTTTTGGAAACAAACCTTCTGCTTTTGGCTGCCGCGTTTATTAAACGCTTCAACGTTTCGGCGGCAGGCATATTTAATTTACTCGTTTTGATGCGGCTTTTATTAAAATTCGTAAAATAGCCCTTCGTTCTCTTTAATTTATATTCTGGTGATTCTTGACGGTATTTCATGATATTGTAAATATCAATGTCAAGATATATCATTTCTGGCATTGCCATACAACCAATCATGCAAATGAAGCGAGTTAAAAGGAACACCGGCGGAGGACTCTGACGCACGGAGGAGTTCATGTGCGGAGGATTCTGACGCACGGAGGAATTCATGTGCGGAGAAGCTTATGTGTGGAACACTCTACTCCTTAGAAGAAAATCATTATCTCATCCTTTTTCTCATATAACTTTTACAATTCTGGTTTTTGCCCCAAATTCATGAAAAGCTCGAAAATGCAATTAAACACTTCAAAAACTTAATTTACTCATAAAATAATTTATTACTCTCTATATTTTACTTTAGTGACATTTCCGTAATAAAGTAAAAGTTTTAGTAATAGAATTTCGATCGAAGTAATCTTAGCTTCATTAAATCAATTACCAAAACACTGATTTTGATCTAGTTCTATTATCATCCATTCAGCTACCTTTTTTGTAATACCCTGCCCCAAAATAACACGTTACCTTACTTTTAATCTGGTGTACGATAAACTCTTTCGACATAGCATACCAAATTTTGGATAAAAGCCACTTCATCCTTTAAGAAAAATATTTAATTTTTAATGTAATGTAAAAAGTATTGTTCATGTTAACTTACCTGCGTATAAATAATTTGCAAACCCGAAGTAATCATTTGACCTAAAAAAATTATATACAAAAAGAGACCACATCTCTTTGCAAATGGTTGTAAAAATCGTCGGAGTATATTTCCTCCCCAGTGTGCAAATGCAATGTACTACGTAGAGCATGTTGATTGTCCACAACTGCAGATTGGGGAGGAGAAGGACTTCTTCAGGATCCATTGGTGAGTTGCAATTGTATGCCGAAGGCGAATTCTCGAAAATGTTTGGATCTTGATTTTCTTAACATTTGTTGGATATAGAGGTGGAGTTAATTGAGGGTTAATAAAAGAGTAGTGTTGATAATGGCATTGAAGATTTCCTTCTGTAATTTTCTTTTTAGTTTTTCTTAAAATGTATCCTTGAACACCCAACTTTTCCATGACATCATCCATAATTAGAGTTGCAGAAGCAGCATACTTCGCCGCTCGATCACCCTGCTCATTTCCCAACAAACCGATGTGATTTGGTACCCACAACATTTTAATTTTTTGTTGGGTGTTGTAATTATATTCCATAATTTGTTGATGGTGCTCCATCTCAAAGTCGAAGGAATCCGTATAGCTTTTAATATAAAGACAAATTGTCAGTTGTTTTTATGGGCAAGGTTCGCAGCGTGAAGGATAGCTCTGGCTTCGGTTGTGAACGTTGAAGTACTTTCGTGAAATATGTGATTGAGAAGAACCTGTCCTGAAGCATTTACCACGGCACAAGCAGGAGGCAGGCCAAAAGATTTTGAGCCGTCTGTGTACAGAAGATTTCAACCAGTACTGTCCAATACTTGGGTTTTTTCAGCTATTAGGTTCCTGAAGACGTAATTTGGAGTATCTTCTTTTTTGTGCATAGACAGCGAGATGTCAAAAGAACAGTCTTACAAAAACCAGGGAGGTTTAACACCAAAAGAGCGGGAAATTTTTAAGGGAATGTTCAATTCCTTTGCGACGTACAAACAATGGTCAATTGCAGACGGTGACTTTGGAATTTTCTTCGCAATAATAATCTTTCTCACGTCATCACCGAGAACAGATTTGTTTGAATTACGAAGCTTGGGACTATTTTAGCTTTTAACTTATACAGTCTATTTTCTAAAGTTGGGAGACCAGTTTCAATTATAATATTATTTATGGGCGTCATCTGAAAAGTACCACGGGAGTTGTTTAAGACTATTAAGACTGTTTAATGACATTTTATATACTTTCGATCCGGAATTTCGCTATTTTTTTTCAAAGTGTTTACAACTGTTTACAATTGTTTAAGACTGTTTAATGACATTTTATATGCTTTCGATCCGGAATTTCGCTATTTTTTCAAAGTGTTTACAACTGTTTACAACTGTTTAATGATATTTGCTGGTCGGAAATTTTTAATCCGAAAGAAGGTATAACGAATTATCATCATCTACTTAGTGATGACAGCCCTTGTATTCCCAAATGGGATTTATTTATCCTAAAACAATTAAGGCATCATTGTATTCCATGTCGAATAATTTTAACGCAATATGGTTTGTCTTAGGAAGCTGACACAAATGCTTCGATTTTGACTGCGGGAGTAAGAGTTGAATATTTAGAAAATAACGCAAAGAACTTAATAGAACTCTGCACCCTGCAAAACTGTTCAACTTTCCACGAGTTTGAGTGGCAATTGACAGATTTTCTGTGTATAAACGCAAATAAAACAAAAAGAAAAAATAAAAAAGGACTTATTTTAAAATTAAGAGCTATTTATCTAGTTTCTTACTTCATTATTTTTTTAACTCTATTTTTATATAATATTATTTTATATTATATATATTATTATTATTATATTTTAATTCTATTATTATCTATCTATATTTATTCTATTGCATTTGTTAAATTGTTTTATTAAAGCATGTTATACTAAAGAGTAATTTTCGGTGATTTCATAAAATTTAAGCGGATTCTGGAATTTAACAAAATTCGGAAATTCCAATATATCATTCAATCAAAGAAATTCAAGTTATAAACAAAAATTTCCATCATTTCTTTTTTTTTCCTACTCTTACGATATATTAATTGTTACTTTATATCTAGAATTATTTACTTTTCCTTATAGTACGATACAGTGAAGCAGGCAAACGCGGCTTTTATTTTATCAATTACTTAATTACTTTTTTGTGGGAATGTAAGTGATGGTTCATTTTGTGTTCTTCCTTAGTGTTTTTTTCCCCTAATTTTCGACATATAGTTGAGAGTTGGAAGTAATTTTTGTATCAAGAAAATTTCAAAATTAACAATTAATTTTCGACGCCAATCACAAGTAAAGTGTTTTTTTTTTATTTTATGTTGGGTTAGGAAGGAATAATTATTCGCCCTTAGCCTATAGACATGTAAGTATGAATTCATGTGCCGTGGAACATAAGAAAAATTATGCTGTGATTTATAATTGTAAATTTCAGGGCTCGTTGCAATGAAAATTTGGAATTAACTAGATTCTTTGATAATGACAACAGCGTTGGTGTGCGGTTGGCAGAACATCTTCGAAAGGATTGTGGACGCGTAGCATCACGCCCATATATTGCGTTTCCGAGCTTAGAGGGAGAACGATTAAGTACGAGTAGCTTGGAAATTCTTTTAGGCAGACCTTCTAATAATGACGTTGACGTCTTTGTGGAACCTCTGCAGCGAACAGAAAGCAAAAATGCAGGAAAAAGTCATGATTTAAAAAAACAAAAAAAGCATCAAACACGCGCCAGCCAAAAGATATATATGGAGATATATAATGGAGCCCCACCCATAGAGAATGTCGAAAATCAATCGCCGATTCCAATTACTGACTCCAGAGACTCTGATGGGTCGTCACTTCCACATCATCCAAAATGTTTTACTCCTCGGACTTCTGCTTCACGTAAAAGTATTGAAGTGCCTCCGGCTGACCATTTGAGACGTCTAAGTCTTAAACGCTTATCTAAAATAAGTAGTAGTCGTCGGACTTTATTGCAAGAATTTGAAAGCACCGTGCCAGACGTTAGTTTTGTAAGTTTCTAAATTGACTTTTTGGTTTTCACACAGCTTTCAAAAAATTTGATTTTATATGTTTTAAATAGAACCCGCGTATATTTAGTACCCCCAGAACCAGAAAATCAATCAATGATTGTGAAGATGGTTTGAGTTTAAATAATTTGTCAGAATCTTCTAATCGTGCCAAGGATGGACCAGACTTTTTTAAAAAACCCATTCGCGAGAGTACAAATTTGGATTGGTCTGCAATAGAACGCATGGATGAACAATTAAAGGCTGTTTTGGCATGCACAACCAACTCTGGTGAAACTGAACATGATAAGCAAAATGAAAACTTACCAATCAACAAGAAATTCGGCGAATCGGAAAATAACAGTGAAAACGTTTTCAATGTGGTACATAGTGTGAATCAGATTTGCAATAAAGTTAGCAATTCGAGAAAATCTGGCAAAGAATTGGAAGTTTCAGAAGAGGTCGGGAAGGAGAAAAAAAATGCGTCGTCAAAGAAGGAAAATTCGGCAAAGTCTACGCCATCGGAGGGAGTTATCTCAAAAGCCAACCAACGTAAGTCGTGTATGCAGACAGATGCCAATTTACCGCCAGAGCCAAATATAGAAGAAGACCGACCTGTATCGGTGGAAACTCTTAACGAGCCATCAAAGGAAGCGACCACATGCAACAAAAATCAATCCTACACACAACCTCAAGAGGAGTCTTTGAATGGCTGTATCTATGCCAAAGAACTGTCTGATTTCGGAAATAATGAAATTCTAGATCTTCGCAAACGGAAATCGAATAATCGTCGTAGTAGAAAAAGAAATCTTGTTGATCGAATTATTCTTGAACTTCCAGACCAAGAGCAGCAACAAGGAGAACATGCGACGACGATAAATCGATATGTTGAGGTAGGCACTGTTCAAGAGCAGCAACAGGAAGGAGAAGTTGAAGAGATAAGTATGGGTGACGTGCATATTCTATCAGTGCCAGATGCCTTTCGCGATTTTGCGGTTAATACACATAGTGAAAATAATGGTATTGGTAATAACAATTTATTAGTTGACGAGACTCCAGCCGATCTTGTATCATTTGTAAGTGAAAATGACTATATTAAAATTAAATATTGTAATTAAATACTACTTTTCTATTCAAAAATTTAGAAGGATTCCAATACACAACAGACTAGACGTGCGAGATCTACGAAAGGATCGGTAAAAGATTAATGTAAATATGTATATCTTTTTTTAATTTCTTTACTTTGTAGCCTAATCTTCTGAAAAAGTATCTAGATTTACCTCGAAGAATTTCTCTCCGCAAAAAAGCAAATGCTTCGCGGCAATCAACGCGACCACTCTACACCGAACCCAACTTAAACGAAGTGTTGGCAACTAACACGTCACAGCACGCTGATATTGCCTGCGTGATTAGAGAACCTACAACCAATTTACCTCCCGTACCGTCTCGGTCAGACATACCTGAGAACATTCCACCGCTCAGAGTAGTATCATCTCATCATGCAGATATGTCCGATCGGTTTTTCATTACTTCAGTTGAAACGGCCCCATTATTACAACCGCCGCAAGAATTTGGTACAAATACACGTGTCAGCGATTCTTTTGCTAATGTTACAGATAATACAGCCTTTCCAGATGAGTTGAATATCATAACAAAAGTTAAAGACCGAGGAAATAGCCAAGATGGAAAGAACGCAACGATCGTTAATAAAGAAAAACCGTTAGTCTCACTAAACGATTCCGAAACCGTTTTCAAAAAACCCAAAGCAAGGGCGCCGCGATTGAAAAACTCAAAAACAAAGGGTAATGAAGTGACTTCATCGGCTTTTGTTGAAAAAGATAAACATATGACAATTCAATTAGAGGAGAGGAGAGAAGACAACGAAACAAAAAAACCGACACATCCACCTAATGGACGTGTCAATAAAAATGTTGTAAGTGCGGAAACACAATCAGTGTTAAAGAAATCACGGGAAAAACCACCGAGATCAAGTAAAGCGAGAAAATCCAAAATGGTCTTATCCACCAACCTGGAACAAACAAACAATAGCGGTAATGGCTCTTTTAATTATAAGAATGCTTTGTAATTCTTGTTATCGTTCATGCATTTTCCCTTTGCAGTCAGCTTGCGTAGATCAAAACGGCAACCTGTACCAACGAAAGAACTTTATTTTTTCGCCAATATGTACAACGAAGTCATGGAGCGAAATTATAAAAGAATGCAGAAAAGAAAAGAAAATACTTCTCTGAAAGCTGAGAAAATAAAAAATGTTGTTCAAAATTCTAACGACAGTAATAGTTCGGGCGCTACCAATAGCAGTCGACAGGCAGCAGTTGAAAAACCGGTTATAAAGAAGACTGCAGCGAAAAAAACGAAGCTCAAATTGGTCGATGCAATGAAGGAAGCAAATCTATCTACCATACCGGAAAGCTGTCATGAGAACAGTGTGAACGTCAGCCATATAAATTTAAGACAGAAGCCCCCTATCGAATCTCTTAATTTTATATTCGATCAATTGCGTGATAACAGCAGATTATCAGAAAGCAATCAATTAACATCAACAGTTAATGTCTTTCCCGATCAACCAAAAGAACAAAACAGGGAACCTCGTAAACTACGGGTCCGCTTGCGGAGATTAAATTGGAATAATAGAGATCGATGCGTTAATAATTGTACAACAACTACTAGTCCGCTGTCACCTCCTTCAACACCGTCGTTAACGTACAGTAATAGCTCGTCCACTACATTAGCCACTAGTGAATTGATATCGTGGTTGAAAAATGCTACTGGGATTAGAAATCCATCCCGTGAAATCTTTCGAGATATGCGTATTTGTAAGTGCATGGAGTATTATTACGATTACGATATATTTGCAATGCTTTTTCCCTTCTTTTTCATACTATGTAATCATAAAAGCCAAAAAATCAAGTTTGTCATTTAACGAAATTCAAGGTGTAGAATATGCTTTCTATGATACCGATGATAAAACTTCGTTAGGCTATTTACGTTTTAAACCAAAGCAAATTAAACCTAAAAAATGTGCAAAACGATATCATTTAGTAAGTTTACATTTTAAAACCAAAATCAATTGTTTTGGATTTCATATGGCTTTTGTTCGTGTGTTTTCAGCATTTTATTGTTTTGGAGAGCAACTTTTGCATATCAACCAATTCAGAAAAAATATTATTAAAACCTGGTGATATGGCAGCAATAGAGAAAGGTAAGATTTTGTGACGTTGTTTTTTTATATCTGCCACAAAGGATTCATTAACGAAACGGTTAAACAGTGACGTATCTGATAAGCTGAAAATTTAGAGACAGAGCGACTGATGTGACGAATTTTTAATTTATAGACTATCCATAAATTCCGAGTAAACTTGATACGTAAATTCAATTGGTACAATGCAAAATGAGTATCTCTTGTTTCATTAAGTAAAATAAATTATTCAACTTTTTTACGATATCATATAATTAGTTAGTTTTGGACAAACTTGTATTAAAACAAAAGCAAGTGGCGGATATGAAGAGATTCGGTGTAAGCCCAAATGTTTTGCGATTTTAACTACTTTCATGCATTACAGGAACTCATTATGATATTGAAAATTTAACCGACGAAAAGGGTATCTTAATGGTCATTAAAAAATGAGGATTGTTATAGTTCTTGATTTTTTCAATTTATATGCTTAACATTTGTAAGATTAATAATGAAATATTAGTTTTTTCTTTGTAAATTTGTACGTATTTCTAATGATTTAAAAAAGCTGCTAGTTAAATTCGCAGCGGAAAGAACTTAAAAATAAATAATATTAAAACAAAGCCATTGGTGTCAAGTTAAATAATTTTTCATCAAAGTTGTGCCAGATTTCAGCAATATTTTTATAAAACTCATGCTTAAATTAAAAGAAAAAATAAATGTACGCAGCCCACCTATTAATAGTGTTTTCACAAAGAAGTATGAGTTTTGGGCTTCTTGAATTTTTATTTATTTTACAAGCAGAGAGTATATTTTTTCGAAGGTCGACCTGATTTTCCTTCGATTAGCGAACAATAGCTTCATTCTGAAAGATATTTTAAATGCCGACGTCAAAGAAATTTGTGTTTCTAGCATATGGAAATTCAGATTACTATTAGTTAAGCTTCAATGGAATATTAATTGGTCCAAATTCTTACAACGTAGCCCATCTCGATTTAGCGCAAAATTCTAAAATGCTTTTTGTTAAATGTCCACGTGTAACTTGGTCGATTCGGGCGAAATAACATTAGAATTATAGCATTTTAGTTTTAATCTAATCATTATTCATTTAATTATATATATCCCCAACGGTTTTCTAGTTAGGATTTCCGATATTATTTTATTTTTTCTTTTGTATATTTACAAATTTAGATAAAGCGCGTTTGGTACGACTAATCCTATGGACGTCCTGAAATCAACGGCAAAACGCAATATCTCCCAATTCACAGCTATTAGGCTCAGTATCCAATTCTCCTTTCCAAAATAGAGCTTGTGGCCTTTGTTGCTAGTGCTGAATTTGTTTTATTTTTAGTTTTAGGATTTATTCCATTCATTCATTCATCATAGAAAAGATTTTCCGAAGTTTCTAAGCGATGTCCGCTCGTTAAATTATAAGATGCACCTTGAATATTTACTTGCCGTAGTGCTCCAACATTTCCTATATTAGCATTACGTATAGAAAAAGTTGATATTTTTGAATGTAGTAGTGCTTACAAATTATTCTCTAGAATATTACCTTCGCACCTTCGCTTCACTTTTCGGGTATTTGACTTGTTGGGGGCGAACTTGCTCAAATTTTAATCATTTTTCTCAATTTTGCGATTGGGAAAGTTACAATAAATGCAAGTTGGCATCTTTCCCTGATCTGAAATGATATAGTTATCGATTCTTTAGTGTATATTTAAGGGATACTATTAGATATGATAATATATTCCAGTATACTTGATCGTCTTTGTTAGTGAAGTTAAAACTGTCCATTTTAATTAAAAAATGATAATATGATAATATCGGCTCAGACGGGGATTGGCTAATTGTACTAATAAGCTATGTTTAGAAATTTCACCTATATTAAAAACATTTATTTGGTTATTCATCGACGCATTCCTTACACACCTAGCTTACCTTTTGATATACCGATCAGCAGCGTTTGAGCTTCTGGACGACTCAAAATTCCTTTTTGTTGCAATGTAGCGAAGAGGGCAAATTTGCGAGATTTTCGCCATTGCAAATAGAAGTTTGCATGTATATACCTTGGGTGTCTAAGTGGCTTTCAAATTTTCGAACGTTTTTCGTATCTCGTCCCTTCGCTTCGTACTACTAATGAGTTGTGCAGTTTTAACGCCTTCAGCCTCTTGTACCGAAGGGTGATCCCCGGCAAAGGCTTCGGTCGGCTAAGAAGATTTTAAGGTTTTGGGCTACTAATTCGGCGACGAGTTCTGAGAGATGGTGGAGGGGTTGGCTGGAAGATGAGCTCTTCACTCAATATCTGGTTACTACCTAGGAAATTTCTGAATGGGTTTAAGTACGTTGAAGGTAGTAATCTAGCGAGTGCATGGTAGATCGCCCCTGGCCATGTCAGTGCAATACCCGAGACCTATATATCTCGAAGAAAAGTAGTTCATGGTGTTGGCAACCAAGGAAGTATGGTGAATCCGAAGCAAGTACGGTTGTTTTTAACATCCGCCCAAAGTATGCCAAAGGCTTTGTAAAACAAACTGGGAGCCAAGGGGGTCAGGAGGCTCGCCTCACAAAGCCATGTATGCCTGCGGGTGTATGATGGACTTTGTTCATAAAGTCGTTGGAATTAAAATTTTCTCAAGAGAGTTAATTATACAAAAAGGAATTAACGGATGGCCTTCCCTTTGGCCTATTAATTAACAAACTCTCTTGAGAATTAATACACGCAAAAATTAAAAAAGGGATTTGACGGAAAGGCTTTTTCCCCTTTTGCCTTATTTTTACTTTTGAACATATGTCACGGATGCCTGCGGGTAATGGTGGTAATTGATCAACGGCGCCATGGAAGCCTTATGGCGGAAGCGAGCGCAATTTTTACCCTTTTTGAACCAATATCGTTGATCAATTTGTGAGTCCTGGCTGCTTGGGTGCGGCCCTTCGGGGAGTACTCGTGGTGGTTGTGGTTGGCAAGTTCCTAGCCAAAGTGGAACAATTTGAGTGCAGCTAGGCCTCACCACTGACCAGAGTGAGGTTTATTGTTCCATACACAATAAACCGTTCTGGACTATGGTGTTGTTTAGGCCCCTACTCTGTGGGGATTGCCTAACTAGCCAGGGGGCGTAGTACGCTTAAAGTGGCTTGGGCCACCGTGGGGTTTAGCCTTTCATGCAGGAACCCACGTTAAACCCTTGCTACAAATTCTGTACCGAAGGGATTTGCGATAATTTAACATTTGATTTTGAGCCAGAGCGAATAAATATTGCAGATCAGATTTATTTTGTTCATTCATTGTATTCTTAAAAAAGTCACTAGTGGAGGCTGATGATTTGGTTTTTGGAATGTGTGCTATTTTGAAAGTGTGGTGACCGTTTTCATTTAATCTATAGATATTTGAAGTAAATATTAAAAAGTGGGAATGTAAGGATGTAATTTTACAATTTAGGAAAATATCGGGAAAACATTACAAGTTTTAAATATACAACTGATTTTAAAGATCGATTAAGAAACAATGTACCCAAATCGCTATTTCACGAAGGTCTGTCATATAAGTAGGCGGTAGTAAAGGTATAGCTGCCGGCTATTCCATCATCTGCTTTTCGATCAATTTTTGTATTTTAAGTGCACGTACCGGTACTACGAAAATTTCTTCAAATTTCAAAACAGCTGTAGAATATTTACATATCAATGGGTAGTATAGGAAGTCGAAGTAAAAACAGCTGTAGAATGTTTACATATCAATGGGTTGGAATAGGAATAAATGGTAATTATAAATTACTCTCAGACGCTTCCAATCTGTTGATATTCTATAACTGTTTTTCTCAGAAGCTGTTAAACCACCGGGCATGCTTTTCAGTTTGCGTTTGCTGTTTTTCTGTATTTCTTGGCTCTAAAGGAAGCCACAAATTTGTTTATAAGAAAAGTACTATGTGTGGAGAATGAAGAGAGCACAGAGTTGCTTTTAATAAGTAATGAATAAATAAATAAGAAAAAGGTGAATAAAAAACCTCTCTCACTTGTTAAATGGGACGAAGTGGTGGAAAAAATCGTAGCAAGTATAATTGTAATAAAAAATAAATATGTTTGGATTTGTTGTTTGTATAAGATTATGTTATTTATGTATATTCGTTTTCATTTAACAATTTTAAAAACTATAATGAACATCTTTCGGACAATAAATCAAATCGAATGAAAGAAAGACATTCCTAAATTGTATGTTGTAGTTTTCTATTATGTTTCCTATTATATTTCCTTTGAAATAAATTCAATACACGCTTGAAAAATCACTTACTACTACTATGCTTTTCATAAATCACAAAGTGATTAGAATTTCTATAAAACAGATAATGTGGACAGGCAAATACAAAATTTGTGACGAATAAAAAAACGAAACATTTTTTGATTATTTTAATTAATTTACATTTAAATGTTTTGATAAAAGTTCTTAGCTTATTGAATCCATTACTATTCAAACTCTATGTGCATACTTATCCATATGCACATGTTGTATATATTACATATACTTCAATAATGAACTTCAGACAATCTTTTTTTTTGTATTTGTATTAAAAAGACACTACCTCCGCTTAGAAATATATGTACTGTCAAACCTGTTTTTGTGCGGTCTTTTTTTATGCGCTTTTTTGTGCGATTCTTTTTGTGCGATTCTTTTTTTTGTGCGGTATATGCATATCGACACATTGAATTTCGCCGAGAGGTTAAGTCAATTTGAACTGTGTTGGCACCACTTTTTTTGCTATCAGTGTGTATATACACATTGCAACAGCCATTTTCATACCTATTGCATCAGGTCTATGAAGCTTCCTTTTGAGTTTTGCAAACGTTTTGACGAAATGAGCCCGACCTAATCCTTCAGTGAAGGTTATCCAAAATCTCACTCGGCTTGCTTAAAAGTTTCAGACATTTACACAAAGTTAAATATTTGCAAATCGTCGAAAGAAATAGATAGACAGATAGATGCGCCACAAGACACTGAAACCGACTTGACAGCTCATTTGCACTTGTAAGTCTTCAGCTTTGACGTTACTCTCATATACTTCATATTTATCTAATACATAGTTCTACAAAAACAACTAAGAACATTACAGTCGGCTCAGGCCGGCGATTAAATATCCTTCACCACATAGTGTAACAAGTTTTTATTTTTTTACAAATTATAGAACACAAAAATTATATTTTGTTTCTATATAAAGGTATATTTTTCATGTGCACGTTTATAAGGAAGCTGGCCCAAAACGCAACCTAACACAGTGCAAGTTTAATCCTTACATGGGGGCGGGATTCAAAAGTAGGAGTAGATGGTCCAAATTTTGTAAGGTTCATTTCATTTTAGTTAATTGCTGACCTTTTAACCATTAAGACAGGATTAATATGCGCGTTTTGAACTACGACGAGTAGTATTGAATTATGTACATTTTGAAAATTTCTCCTTGTTTAAAATTAGAAATTAAAATTTTTTTAAATGTTTCAATGTGTAATTTAATTATTTATTTTGCTTGGAAAGCACTTTCTTGCTATTTCGTAAAGCTTTGACATATTTTCTAAGTGAGACTTTTTTATACGGTCCCTCTCTACCGCATAAAAAAATTTTTCTTTAATAGGCTGTGAAAAATTATTTCTTATAGCTATTTATGAAGTTTTTGAATATTTTTTTTTGTGCGGTTTTTTTTCTGCGGTCACTATCTACCGCACAAAAACAGGTTTGACTGTATATATGTTCACAAAAAAAAAAGAGTAAAATAGAACCATACATTACTGCAAACCGGTTAAATCGATTACGAGATGGTTTTATTAATATATATATAACTTGGACAAGCGTTCATTTAGCCAAACATTCATTGATATCATTTGGGCCGATTTGAGGTGGGAAAGTGGTATTTAAGATTTTATATATTTTTCAATTACTCTTCTAATATGTTGTGGTTTTAAGACGATCGCAATAGATATATTTTTTAAAATATCTGTACAAATTGAAAGAAAAAGTTGCTGTGCATTCACATATTATTTCGCGTTGTTCCTAACCTCGGGAATGGTATTAAGTTCTTTTGCACTGCCCATTGTATTGGCTCACAGTTTCAATTGTGGAAATCAAATAAGAAGATGACTTAAAGAACACTGCAATTCCTCTAGGAACTGCTGATGAAAAAAAAAAGGAAATACAAAGCCGCAATATATTAAGAATGTTGAGCTGCCACGCTCATAGCAGCCCCATTGGGTCCGCGGAATACAATTGGGACATTGATCTGCCCCCCCCGATATGTAGAATGTTTTAGCCGCTGAATTTATAACCTTGCATCAAATTGTTTAAAGATATAAAAATTCGTAAAGTATTTAGAGATCTCAATTACAACCGTGCAATAATATATTTTATTTTTTTCAGACGAAGGAACATATTGTGGAAAAGTATGGCGGTGAAGAACATTGAAGAACATTTGCAAGCACCACCTAAATCGCTAAATCGCTACTGTTGGCCCAAACCGAAGATTATATAGAATATTCGTGTAGCGGCAAAGGAATGGAAAAACCAAAAGCTCGTAGGATTTAAGGATATTATCTTAGTAATATATAAACTGGGATTATTTCGGAAAAATGAAAATCTCATATTAATCTATTGTTAATTATTTTGAAAAATTGAAAAATTTGATGTTAATTCTTTCCATATACAATTTTTATAGGCGTGGCATTCGATTTTACCCTATTTTCAAAAATGAAATGATAATTCTTTCCATATATTCATACAAGTGCTTGAAATATAATATATAATTGTATATATTATTATACAAACCGTAAATATAATATGTGATGCATAGATCACACACACACACACACACACGTACGCTGAAACACTAACGAGAGAAAGCGAAGGCGAAAAATGCAACATCTTTAAATTACGACGGATTAAAATGCGACAAGTCGCATAGGAAAACTGATTAAAAAAAGGAAGGTAGAGCAAGTGCTGGTCTTTAAAGTACTTCTACGAATATTGGCTGGAAATAACATGTTATTTTTACTCTTTTTTTTATAGACTTTATATAAATCGTAACTGACGTTTTAATAAATATGTTAGGACGATGATTTTTCAGTAAATTATAGTTCTGTTGTAAATGGGTAAACAAAGCGGTGTAGACATAAGTGGATAAGCTAGATTTAGACAAGGTAGA